TCTGCTGCTGCTGCCCAGAGAGGCCACAGATCAGCTTTATGCTGCTAGTTGAGGGAAGATGGTATCTTTAGTGGCGCACGGGGCTGCTCTGAAGGTATGCACCTGGTGTGGCCGCCTCTACCTACGGACTGTGAGGGCCTGGGGGTGTGGTGTTAATGCGGGCTGGGCTAGAGACAACAGCCAAATCCTCGCTCTCTCACTAGCACTTTCTCTCTCTCTCTCCCTCTTTTGGAAAACTGAGGTGCCATGTCGAATAGTCAGATGCGCTCATTAGGGAAACCATTATAAACTATGATTCTGTGACTCTCCTTTCTCCAGCTCCCAAACCAATAGAGACTAGTGGTCACTTAGATCATGTTGTTTGAGATGTGATGGAATGGATACTTTATTTCCTCAAGAGATTGCATTAAAGATTAAATGTAATAGATGAATGTGTAGGAGAAGATCCCGGAGAATGTGTTAGGTGCACAATAAATACTCAGCAAACTTAATTTCATCTCAGAATCTCAGTTCGGTATCTCTCTTGTAACGTTGAGGAAATACACCCAAATGCTCTGATGAGATGAGATTCGGGAGTAAGTTCCCCTTGTCATGGATTGAGATTTGCGAAACAGTCCAATCTGATCAGTCACACATTAGCAAGTCATGGCATTTCTGCTAATGGCCAATCTCATTTCTTGGAAGATTTCTCTTAGTCTCTGTCTCACAAGGTGAAGTTTCAAAACTTGTCTTCCAGTTCTGGACAGTACTTGGAACACAGGAACTATTTCTGTTTAGGGGGTAGGGAAGATGTTGAAAAATTAGATGAGAACAGATGCCTCTAGAATGGCCCACCCCCTAGACCCTCTAAAGGATAGAAGCCCTGAGAGGATATCAAACAAGAGAATAAGAAAAGTCACCAAAAATTTATTAGAAATGAAGCTTAAGGGACACCTGGGTGGCTCAGTCAGTTAAGCATCTGCCTTCGGCTCAGGTCATGATTCCAGGGTCCTGGAATCGAGTCCCACCTTGGGCTCCCTACTCAGAGGGGAGCCTGCTTCTCACCCTGCTTGTGCTCTTTCTTTCTCTGTCAAATAAATAAGTGAGATCTTTAAATACATAAATAAATAGAGTTGGATGGCTGGCAGTTACATAAAGAATTTTTAATCTTCACTTGGTAATCAGATACCTGCAAATTAAAATAATGCAATACCAGGGAACACACATCAGATTGGTAAAATCAGAAAGCTGGATGTAATCACGTGTTACACGGGAGGTGGAGAAACTCATTTTCATGTGGTGGTTTGTTGACTGATGGTGGTCTTACCCAAGACATTTTGAAGAACTGTCTAATTATTAAAATTTGGTGTGTCCAGGTCTATGCCCTAAGGAAATTCTCCTACAGACCAATAGACCTATAGATCTATAGACTAAGAGGACATATTGAGAATATTCATCAAAATGCTATTTGTGAAAGCAAAGAGGTAGGGATAAATTAAGGGCATGAATAAGTAAAACACAGTAGATGCAGTCTAAGAAAAGCTCTTTCTTCGGGATCAAGAAACAAGTAAATGGCAAAAATGAGAGCTGAACCAAAGGCTTAACATTGCTTCTATCATTCAAGATGCATTCTAAGAAAAGCTCTTTCTTCGGGATCAAGAAACAAGTAAATGGCAAAAATGAGAGCTGAACCAAAGGCTCAACATTGCTTCTATCATTCAGTTCATACTTGGACACTTTGCCAGGATCTCCAACGGAATTTTCTAGCTTTACTTACAACTAACTCAGAATAACGACCAAAACCAAAGGCACCACGTCTGAGTACTTTATAAACATGATTTACAGACACCAGAGTCTTGGTCTGCTTGGGCTGCTGTAACAGAATACCACAGACAGCGTGGCTTATAAACAACAGAAATTTATTTCTCATCGTTTTAGAGGCTAGAAGTCCAAGATCATGGCTTTGTCAAATTCAGTGTCTAGTGAGAACTCACGTCCTGGTTCACAGGTGGTCATCTTACCGTGTCCTCACACAATGGATCGCTGGGGTCTCTGTTACAGAGGCATCCGTACCATCAGGAGGGCTCCACACTTATGACCCAAGCACCTCTGAATATTCCCACCTCCAATTACCCTCCCATCAGGGGTTAGGTTTTAACATACAAATTTTAAAAGGACACACGCAACACGTTCACTTTCAAAGAAAAGGAGCTTAGGAACTGTGTTCTTAGCCTCTACCCCTTGTTTTGAAGCCCGGAGAGCCTGGGGACCCCTAAACAAGGTGCCCTCACCTTCACCTTGATTTTTTTGTTCTCAATAACCAAGCCTGGAGATACTAGTAAGGTGAGATGAATGCAAGTTTCTGGCAACATTGTTTGATACATTAACTAGGCATGAATACTAGCTAAATTAAGGGCAGTTTAGAAAACAATATAGATCATCACTGATGACATGAGAGTAAGAAATTGCAGAAACAAGGGAGGGTATTAGATAAAAAAAGGAATGACTGCCAGGCATGAAATGCCTTGTGTACTGGAGAATACATTTGAGTTGAGAATTTCAGAAGAAAGTGTTTTCTCTGATAAGAGTTTTGTGAATCATTTTTCAAGCCATGAGCAGACAAGACTATGGCTTAGTGACCCTCAGAAAGAGGGTAGGGGAAGATGAAGAGGCCAGGGAGGGCAGTGCAATATCCTCAGATTTCTTCGTTTGGTCTTAATAGCACACGGAGGTATGAGGAGCTGAGGGAAGCTTTATGGATGAGGGCAGAGATGATAATTGCTCATAGACTGGGGCAGGGAAGGGAAACCCCCTGCTTCCAGATCTCATATTTAAGATTCTGAGCTGATAAAAGGCTAAATATATGTGGAAGGGTAAAACACTACAAAATAGAAGAAAAGATTTGAGAGTGTAAGTTCATGGAAAGGAAAAAACTCCAAAAAGCTAGTGGTGTTTTGAATTAGTGTCTAGATGTGCTGTTTTATGTGAATGTGGATGCATTTGGGGGACAGGAGAAATGACACTCAGGAGAGAGACTAATCACTAGTAAGTAAACTAATTTTGAATGAAGAACAACAATAAGAAAGTAAAAGATATGTCAACCTACCAGCCAATTCCAAAGCCTTAACCAAAACAAAACAAAATCAGGTGTCAAGGTAATGAGTATGTGGCAAATTAAGTTGAAAATACAATATTGAAAAGGATTGAGCCCAACATTTGGAACTAAGAACATTAAAAATTGTCAACTACATAAGTGTGGGTCAGTAAGCAACTTTCAGAACATTGGAAAGGCAAGTACGTCTCATTTATTCATCTAATTAAGGGGGAAGGGAATCTCATGGGATTTGAAACAGTCAACATTTGGAAAATATCTCTTCATAATGTGAGAAGGGGGAAAAAAACCCCTCTATTTTCCCCAATTATTCACCAAGAAGTTACAGGACAGTTCATGTCAATCAGCATTATCCTATGCTGAGAAAGACCCCTCCCCCCAAAAAAGAAAATAGTTTTATTAATTAGTTTAATTTAAATGAAATGAGAATCCTAAGCTTTTTTAAGCTTAAAAAGTGCAGGCAGTCTGTTTGTTCCCTGCATGCAAGTGGGAGAAGAGAATGAGGAACGTATCTAATCTAACACAGAATGACACCTTTGGAAACATACATGTGCCTGTATTTTCAGGGCACAGCACAGGCAAATGCAATGAAATCAAATTCCCGATCTTTCAGAGTATCTTACCTTCACCCGGTAAAGGAACATTCATAACTTTTCTCAGTGTTTCAAGACTTTGTCTTGGAAAGGTTGGTCTTAAAGTACCATTTTCAAGAACAGCTGCTACATAAGGAAGCAGAAAGCTGCCTGGTTCTCGGTAGTTGCAAGAGAAAGACGGCAATTATCCCGCCAACAGAGACAGGTCTGAGATCTTCAACATGAAGCACTCAGATTCCCTTTTTAAACAAGGATAAAAAAACGGGCCGGACTAGGAGCTCAGTAAGATATGGATTGACTCATAGAAAGGGAGCATGTAATATTTTCCGCTTACAGCAATTACCGAATTTATAATATATTTTGGTAGCTGATTCCTGGAATAAAAGTAGGTATTTGTTCAAGGGATGAATAATCACACACCTTTGAAACAGTGTAAATCTGACAGTAGCTGGAGGGCGGGCCAGCGCCTGAGGGAGGTCATTCCAAACAGCCCCAGCCATGGAAACCAACCAAGGAATTCTTCTTTCCAAGTTGTTGTTGTTTTCCTGGGATAAAGTCGTTCTTGTCTCTTCATCCTGCATCTTATCTGTAAACTAAAGGCAGAGGGTATCTGGGTGCAGCCGATTTCCCAGTTCAACAAAGGATTGGGGGTACGCGGCGAAGGCAGCTCTGAAAGGCGTGGTCTCCAGCTCCTCGGCTCTCCAAGGACTCTCCTCCTCAAACACCTTCAGAAACCTGAAGTGTTTCTAACCCAGATAAAGAGTGGTCAGTTCTCCCCAAAATACGTGGCTGGGATGGAGGAAAAGGAAAGACAACCGAGTGAGTGAAATGCAGAGGCTAGAGAAGCGAACTGAAGAAAGGTGAGGCTGCCCGCACCTTGAAGCGGGGACCAGGCGGCGCTAACCTAAGCAGCAGTCACCGGGGTGCTGAGGTCGCTGCACGCGACACGGCTGCGTAAATGCTCGGGGCACTGCAGTCGCTGCGCTGGAGGGGGGCCGCTCGATGCCGGCAGCTGCAAGACACTGCTGCGAGCAAAGCTCAGAGACAGAAAACCATCAAGGCTCGGCCCCGAAACACGACAACCCTCCGGCCGGGGGCAGGCCAGAGCGCGGCGGGAACTTTCCAGGAAGCGTCGGGTTTCAGCCTAGGAGTTTAATCACCGCCCTTCGCATCGGTCCAGAAAGCGTAGGCCGGGCTCTGGCTCGGGACCTCCCTGAGCGGATACAGCTAGCCTGCGCTGTTCCCAAACAGGTCCGTCAAGCGACTATATAAGCCGCCACCCCGAGCCTTAGGTCGATTGTGTTTCCCTGTTTTGCAGTCATGTCTGGTCGCGGCAAGGGCGGGAAGGGCCTGGGCAAGGGGGGCGCCAAGCGCCACCGCAAGGTGCTACGCGACAACATCCAGGGCATCACCAAGCCCGCCATCCGGCGGCTGGCCCGGCGCGGCGGCGTCAAGCGCATCTCGGGCCTCATCTACGAGGAGACCCGCGGGGTGCTCAAGGTGTTCCTGGAGAACGTGATCCGCGACGCCGTCACCTACACGGAGCACGCCAAGCGCAAGACGGTCACGGCCATGGACGTGGTCTACGCGCTCAAGCGCCAGGGCCGCACCCTTTACGGCTTCGGGGGCTAAAACCGATTTCACTCTCAAGATCTAATCTAAAAGGCCCTTTTCAGGGCCGCCCACAAAATCTGCTAAAGCGCTGTAGACTTCAGAAATCTTTTCAGAGCTCCTAACCCGGAGTTCCATAAGCACGTGGTCTACGGGGATTCGTTTAAGATGAGAAAGCATAATGTGTCTCAGATTGTAGCGGCGTCCCTGTGCCACCATATTCAGAAAGTGCCAAATCCTACGGTGACGAGTCGACATCCCCCCACCCCTGTGTCCACACTGTTCAAGACAGTCGTGCTGAAAGCCGAGCTAATGTACCATGCGTTCTCTATAAGGTACAGCTGGCCAATCTTTGCTGGAAGAAACAGTGATTCTGAAGCTTTTTTTTTTTTTTTTTTTTTTTTTTTTGAAAGTCCTGCCGGAGAACATTGTGGCTAGAATTTCAAATAACGCCAAGGCCTCCCATGTTTTCCGCTGTTCCCTTTAATTTTCAGTAAACAATACATCAATCCAGTCACAAGACCTTTTATTTAAGAGTGGAAGGAAGGCACTTTCCGATTCTCAAGACAACATTTTAAGGAATTTTGATGCATCCTAGAGGGTTTTTTAAAAGTCAGACATTTTCTTTGTCCATTATTCTAGAGACCTAAGCGGGAGGCGGGAAAATGCTTCCTGTCCTTAGAGGCTGGAACCAAGAACCAATCTGCGCGGGGAGGGGCAGGAGGCTCCTGTCCAATCAGGACGATGGGGGTCGCTATAAATACCGGGACCGCGGCTTCTCACTCTCGCAGCTGTAAGTTGTTACCTCTTTCTTGCTATGGCCCGCACGAAGCAGACGGCGCGCAAGTCGACCGGCGGCAAGGCCCCGCGCAAGCAGCTGGCCACCAAGGCGGCCCGCAAGAGCGCGCCGGCCACGGGCGGCGTGAAGAAGCCGCACCGCTACCGGCCCGGCACGGTGGCCCTGCGCGAGATCCGGCGCTACCAGAAGTCCACCGAGCTGCTGATCCGCAAGCTGCCGTTCCAGCGGCTGGTGCGCGAGATCGCGCAGGATTTCAAGACCGACCTGCGCTTCCAGAGCTCGGCCGTCATGGCGCTGCAGGAGGCGTGCGAGGCCTACCTGGTGGGGCTCTTCGAGGACACCAACCTCTGCGCCATCCACGCCAAGCGCGTCACCATCATGCCCAAGGACATCCAGCTGGCGCGCCGCATCCGTGGGGAGAGGGCGTAACTTTTAATGTTCTGATTTTGTCAACTTCAAACCCAAAGGCTCTTTTCAGAGCCCCTCCATTGTCCCCCAAAGGAGCTGTTAACGTTCAAAGTTTGGTAGCCCCATGAGAGCTCGGGTATGTTTCGAGGAAGGGCTGGTGGGCTCGAGAGTTAAACTGAGAATTGGAGAGTGTGGCTCTGTTGTGTAAACCTAAATGTGGGCGGGCCGTGCTGGTACTGAGCGTGGGAAGGATGGGTTTCTGGATGGGTATTTTTAAAGTGACCCGGCCATCTTAGAAACAACCTGGACTACAGCAAGGGATGAAAGGAAGACGCCCAAGTTGTCGGAGACTTGAGTTCAGGTTCCTGTGGATTATTGTGCAAATGGCAAGTACAACTTTTGCCAAATGATCCCCGTTTTCACTTCAGAAACGTGCCCCTTACTCGTTTTCTTGTCATGTGAAGGAACAAAACTGGGATGGCCGAAAGTGGGGTTAGCTTTCCCACTCTTTTTCAATGTAATGTTTGGCAAGAGTATGCTGCTGGGCTTTGTGTATGTAGTTAACAGCAGAAAATGGGCCAGCAATGACCTAAGACGCTGACCTGCAGGTTGTCAGTACAATGAGCTGCCCCTAGCTCTAAAAATCTAAAGTATTTACCCACTTGTTTTAAAAACGTTCTCAGTCTGAAGCTGAGTTCTCCGTTTGTTTTTGTTTTGTGGTTTTTTTTTTTTTTTTTCAAGTAGAGAATAAGCCTGGGCATTAAATCTGAGATGTTTTAAAGCTGTTATGTTACAGGTTTTCACACGTAAAATTCTGGGTTTCCTAACAGAACTTGGCTGTATGTATTACTTTTCTCCAATTATTTTAAGATTTTTGAAGTCTCATGCTTTTCACATGTGAACATTTTGCTTCTTTTGATTTCAAATCCTAACTCCAGGAGTTAGCCATTTTTCTCTGGAGCTTTCTGCCATCTGGGTCTTATATTCTTTCCCCTATTTTCAAATTTGTCCTTTCAGAAAGGTGCTTATCCCATCTACTGGCTCCTAAAGCTTTTTGGAAAGCCCAGGGATTGAGGGCAAAGACCCAAGGGGCCAGAACCTCTTCCTACAGATTAGTTTAGAGATCCTTTAGTGGCTCTTGGTTGTAGGGACTACCTGACGCTGCCTCTTATGAGCTTCAGATTGTTTTCTCCCCATCCCTTGCAGGATCTTCCCATCATAATGGAGCCAAGGCCAAGTGATCTAGGTTCAAACCTCAGAGCTGCCAATTACTAGCCATATAACCGTTTGCCAGGTTACTACTCATCCTTCCTCTGGGTCCCAGCCTGTGTAGCTGTAAACCGAGGCAAATGAATCAAAACCGTAGAGCATTCTTTGATTAGTTCCTGGCACTTAGTGAATGCTCAAAGAAGGTTAGCCCTTATTATACCTCTCTCCTGCCCATTAAGCATGTGGTGTAGGGGTCCCCTCCACCCCAATCTTCTAAAAGTTTTGTGGTTGAAATAGTGGGAAGTGGTTGATTAAAACATTTTCCTTGTTAAGGTCTTTTGTTAGTTCTCGATTTGCGTTGTTCTGAAAGACGCAGGCTTGTAGCAATACGCCAAACTGCATATATGGAGGAGTCCAAAACAGCAAAATGGCCAAATAGCAAATATTTGGGGCTTTGCCGGCCAAATATGGTCTCTCTTTCTTTTTCCTAACACAATTAATAAAATATAAAAACCACTCTTAGCTTGAGAGCCACACAGAACAGGACACTGTCCAGATATGGCCATAGTTGGCTACACTTGCAACTCCAGGAGCTCCTTGGAGAGAAATATGCTCGCGACTTTAAACTTCCCTGCCGGTCTTCACTGGGAAGAACACAGTGAGTGCTGACTGCAGTACACATTTGAATCTTTAGACCTTACTTATCATCCAGGCCACACCAGAATCCAGGCCACGTCACAAAATCCCATCCGTTCCCCACTCCACCCTCCCCACAAAGAAATAGCAAGCTTAACCACCCTCCGTTCCAACCTCATGGTCATCGTGTCAGTTCTCTTCGATGTTAATGTATTTCTGAACTCTTTGGGCCCTCTCTGACTTGCAGTCCCTCCACCCCTAAACTGCTTTCCTCAGGAGTCTGTAGCCACCCGTATCTCTGAAGTACAGGTTTCTCCTGGCAAACACAGAGTAATGCCCACGTTACAGAAGAGGGTGTTTCTGACAGTGCACTTTTTTATATGTTGGTGGAGATAAGGAGTTTGAATTGGGGAGTGGGGAAGAGCACCTCGGAAACCCGGCATAGTTCCATGTCATGGAAACAGCCCGTGTGTTCGAGGGCTGCTGGAAACCCTGGAGTACTTCCAGCAGGTCTGGGTTGTTCCTAGAGCACATTATCTGTGAAAGCAGCTTTCCCATTTAGTATAATGGATTTGCCTGTTACTAAAGGAGAAAGCATCTCAATCAAAAACAGATCAAATTCAAGTTTGAATTTGGATCTTTGGATCCTCAAGCCAGAGCTATTCCTCCCACTTCAGCTGCAAAGCAGGCGTCATTCTGGCTACTGAACTTTCCCAAACTGCAAAAGACACTCTCTGAAGACATTCACACGTGCAGACTCCTAGGAGACAGAACTGGTTTTCCAAGTAAGATCTATGTGGTTATTTTGGGGCTGTAGGCAGTGTACGTCCCCCTGCCTCTATGCTATTTGCTACAGTTCGAAACAATGTTTATGCCCAAACCCAGGGAACTGTGTCTTTCCTCTTGCAAAAGTCCAAAGCAGAAGCTAAGGACAAAGCATTTTTAAAGACGTCCTTCTGATGTTTAACGGAAAGTCATTGCAACTTCCAGAGAACTAGCACGATGCCCTAAAGCCAGGGGATTCCTGGGACGAGCCGAAAAGAGTTTTAAAAAATATCTTTCCTCTGTTGCACACGATTCATGAAAACACAAACCCGTGTGTGAACGTGGAGACTGCTGTCTTCCATGAGAGCTTCAAAGCCTCCGATTCTGTATGATTATTTTCAGCATTTAATCAGATTTGGGGGGCGAACAAACACACTTTGGGAGTCCAACCGCGAAGGGCGGCTGCCTGAGGGCAGTGGATTGGACGCTCCACCAATCACAGAGCAGCCCCGGCTTATATAAGCCCCTGGCCGGAGTCACGCAGCATCGCCAGCCTTGCGCCTTGGATTTTCAGTCTCTCTCTTCGTAGCAGTTTCTGCTCCCGGCCATGTCGGAAACCGCTCCCGCTGAGACGGCGGCCCCGGCGCCGGTGGAGAAGTCGCCCGCCAAAAAGAAGGCCACCAAGAAGGCGGCGGGCGGTGGCGCTGCGAAGCGCAAAGCCACCGGCCCCCCGGTGTCCGAGCTCATCACCAAGGCCGTCGCCGCATCCAAGGAGCGCAACGGTCTCTCCCTGGCGGCGCTCAAGAAGGCGCTGGCAGCCGCCGGCTACGACGTGGAGAAGAACAACAGCCGCATCAAGCTGGGCCTCAAGAGCCTGGTGAGCAAGGGCACCCTCGTGCAGACCAAGGGCACCGGCGCCTCGGGCTCCTTCAAACTCAACAAGAAGGCGGCCTCCGGCGAGGCCAAGCCCAAGGCCAAGAAGGCGGGCGCGGCCAAGCCCAAGAAGGCGGCCGGGACCACCCCTAAGAAGCCCAAGAAGGCTGCGGGGACGAAGAAGGCAGTGAAGAAGACGCCCAAGAAAGCCAAGAAGCCTGCAGCCGCTGGTGTCAAGAAGGTGGCCAAGAGCCCCAAGAAAGCCAAGGCGGCTGCAAAGCCCAAGAAAGCGTCCAAGAGCCCCGCTAAACCCAAGGCGGTGAAGCCGAAAGCAGCCAAACCCAAAGCCGCTAAGCCCAAGGCAGCGAAGCCTAAGGCTGCCAAGGCAAAGAAAGCGGCACCGAAAAAGAAGTAGGAAGTTGGCCTTCAAAAAGGCAACGAAACCCCAAAGGCTCTTTTCAGAGCCACCCAAATTTATCTGAAAACAGCTGTACGCAGTCGTGGTTGTTGCAAAGACAACAACAAACCTCAAAGTAGCATACATACCAACTCCCTGGGACCCCTAGACAGCTGGGAACTAGACAGCTGCTATTTGGAAAAAAAAAAACCCCTACAATTCCCATTGGCTCACTGGTCCCTTGTTTGCAAGTACTTAAAACGCCCCTGATTCTGTTGCAGTTCGCTGCAAGTTCGTACGTGAGTGACAAAATTTGGGGAGACGGTCATTAATTAAAACTTACATTAATTAAAACTTTTATAAATTGCGGCAACAACTCTTCTCCAGAAATAGTGAGTGGCTCTGAAAAGAGCCGTTTGGTTTGGTTGTTGCTAAGGGAGACCTTACTTGCCCTTAGCCTTGTGGTGGCTCTCGGTCTTCTTGGGCAGCAGCACGGCCTGGATGTTGGGCAGCACGCCGCCCTGCGCGATGGTGACGCGGCCCAGCAGCTTGTTGAGCTCCTCGTCGTTGCGGATGGCCAGCTGCAGGTGGCGCGGGATGATGCGCGTCTTCTTGTTGTCGCGCGCCGCGTTGCCCGCCAGCTCCAGGATCTCGGCCGTCAGGTACTCGAGCACGGCCGCCAGGTACACCGGCGCGCCGGCCCCGACCCGCTCCGAGTAGTTGCCCTTGCGGAGCAGGCGGTGCACGCGGCCCACCGGGAACTGCAGGCCCGCCCGCGACGAGCGCGTCTTGGCCTTGGCGCGCGCCTTGCCGCCCTGCTTCCCGCGTCCAGACATGATTTCAGGAAATTGCCAATGACTAGGCTGAGTAGAGTAGGCGAAAGCTTCCTCTCTTATAGTCCCCACTGGGCGCCAAAATAAAGCTGTGCCATTGGATAAAATTACAGTTACATTTAAACCAATGGAGTCCTGGTTTCCAAAGACTCTTACTTTGATTGGATAGCTACAGGATGCCACCCAGTATTTACTACAAATCTTTGGTTTTGTTTCATCACCTCCGCGTAAGGAGCTGAGTAAAGATGACAGATAGAAAATGAAACAAGATGGGATTGGGAGGGAGATAAACCATAAGTGACTCTTAATCTCACAAAACAAACTGAGGGTTGCTGGGGGGAGGGGGCTTGGGAGAGGGGGGGTGGGGTTATGGACATTGGGTAGGGTATGTGCTATGGTGAGTGCTGTGAAGTGTGTAAACCTGGGGATTCACAGACCTGTAACCCTGGGGAAAAAATATATGTTTATAAAAAATAAAATTAAAAACAAAGATAGAGCCTGTTTTTTCTTTAGTCTTTGGGCTTTTGATATTGGGGAGGGGGTAGAGGGGTGTTACTGTCCACTCTGCCAAAGCCGGTCAGGTCTAAGAAGCTGTGAGTAAGGAGGACACTTAGAGCCTCACACTCACTGCGTTATTTTCAAGCCTTCAACAGTTGTTTCTGGCGGTACCCGAGCCCACCAAGCCGGCGCCGGCCCGAAGAAGGGCTCCAAGAAGGCGGTGACCAAGGCTCAGAAGAAGGACGGCAAGAAGCGCAAACGCAGCCGCAAGGAGAGCTACTCGGTGTACGTGTACAAGGTGCTGAAGCAGGTGCACCCCGACACGGGCATCTCGTCCAAGGCCATGGGCATCATGAACTCGTTCGTCAACGACATCTTCGAGCGCATCGCGGGCGAGGCGTCCCGCCTGGCGCACTACAACAAGCGCTCGACCATCACGTCCAGGGAGATCCAGACGGCCGTGCGCCTGCTGCTGCCCGGGGAGCTGGCCAAGCACGCCGTGTCCGAGGGCACCAAGGCCGTCACCAAGTACACCAGCTCCAAGTGAGCCTGCCAGCTGCAAAGGCTTTTTTTTTTTTTTTTTTAAATTCTGACCGAGAGGCAAAAGCAAATTTTCGTCTGAAGGCTTTTGTACACCCTTCATTTGTGAAAGGTACTTTCTGGTCTTGTGTGTTTTCAGTAAGGTCTTTTTTTTCTTTTCTTTTTTTAATACTACAAACATCAAGCACTCCAAAAGAAATTTATAGTGCAGGGACGCCTGGGTGCCTCAGTTGGTTAAGTGTCTGCCTTTGGCTCAGGTCATGACCCCAAAGTCCTGGGGTCAGATCTGCAAAACACTCCTCTCCATCTGTCCCTCTCACCCTGCTTGTGTTGTGTCTCAAAATACTTTTAAAAATTGTTTTATTGTGCATATTTCATTTACCATCCAAATTCTAACTTTAAGAACCACCCATTGAGTTAATCAGTGAGAAAACTGAAAATTAAGGTGAAAAAGAAAAATATCTCTCAACTTGCATTGAAAATCTTATTGGCAGGGCTTCCATTTATCTCCCTTTAGGTCTTTCCACCATTTTTCAGTCACCATCCTCCTTCCCAGTAGAATGCTCCGTGAGTCACATAAATCAATTTAAAGGAATCTTCCCAAGTCATGTTTCCTTTCAGTTACTCCTTAACATCCATGGAAGGTATGTAACTGGTTGCTCCCTCACTCTAGGACTACATTTGCACAAAACAATGTCATGGTGTTGGGGTAAAGATAGAGAAAGAGGAAAATGAGAACTTAAATTAATCACCTATTTCCACCAGTTATGGATCAGGACTGCTAATTCAGGCTCTACATCTCTGGTTGAATTTTCCTACTGTTACTTCTTGTGCACGTGTCCTGGGTAAACCAAGATCCTCTGCTCTCTTCACTTTGTGAAGTTCCACAAAGATGGAAATCAATCCTGTTTCATATTCATCACTCACCCTTTCATGTCCCCATGTGGCATTTCTGTTCACCATGATTTTCATATGGTCAAGTCCAATTTTTTGTCAATATATGTATTATGAAAAAACTGGGGCTCCTGGGTAGCTCAGTGGGTTAAAGCCTCTGTCTTGGGCTCGAGCCTCTGCTCTCTCTGCCTGCCTCTCTGCCTACTTGTGATGTGTCAAATAAATAAATCCTTAAAGAAAAAAGAAAATAGCTATATTTTTCAAAATAAAAAAAACTTAGGGAAGGAAGTGGCATGGTTTAACATTTCGTAAGTATCTTTAATATCTGGTTTAATAGAGGGGCGGCTGGGTTGCTCAGTGGGTTAAAGCCTCTGCCTTCTGCTCAGGTCATGATCCCAGGGTCTTGGGATCGAGCCCTGCATCGGGCCCTCTGCTCATCAGGGAGCCTGCTTCACCCTCTCTCTCTGCCTGCCTCTCTGCCTGCTAATGATCTCTGTCAAATAAATAAATAAAAATCTTTTTAAAAAATCGGGTTTAATAGAAGACAGCTGGATTCTTGCACAGTATTTGTTTCTGCTTTCAATCAATTGCTGTATAACTGTCAAGTGAAAAGCAGTGCAAAAATTAAGTTTCAGGATTTTCACACAAATACAGTTAGCTTCACAGACCCACCAAAAGGGTCTCAGAAAGAGGCTTGGGTCCCCAGATCGTATTTTGAGAATTAGTAACTTTTGGACAAAAAGAAAGCAAACATTTATTTATTTACTTAGTAACCATAGTGTTGTGGGTATGGCTGGGGATGCCTTTGGCAGAAGCTGATACACAGGATCATTTGAGAATTCCTTACGAATCACTTTGTGTTCCCAGTGGTGACTGTCATTAAAATGAAATTTACTCTCCTGAAATGAAGTTTCAGTGAACCAGAGAGCACCAGTGAGTTTCTCAGGAAGCTCTTTGAGGCTTGATCTATAACGCTGCTGGAGGTGGATCTTTCCTGTGTACACACAGAACTCCCAGAGAACCAGGACGGACGCTTGCTCTGGATGGGATGCTGACCTCAGAAAGACAGGTGCAAGACCTGGGGAGAGAGGAGTCATGAGACACACGGCGTAGAGGTCTGATTCAGTCCATCCCAGGATTGGTTCCAATTGATTAGCATCATGAATTCTGCCAGTTTACATGCTGAATCCATTCCAAGTGACAACTAAATGGTTCTGTTTGTTTCATTTTAATTCTCGCATTAGTACTAATTAAACATGCTTTCTTTCATGCTTTCTGGTGCACACACACCCCCCTTTTTATTTTACTGTTACTGTGAGTCCAGACATCTGAGATCATCCTTACTTTCAGTCAGTATGATGTCTTGGACCCATTAATTCAAAACTTGTAATCAACTCCTCTTCGATGACTTTTGGTTCTTGAATAGAGACCACAATCTCCATCTAGTGTTTCTGGGAGGGAGTTCTCAGAGCACTGTGCACCTGCCTGACTCAGGGAACCTCAAGACAACTTAACAGGAGGTGGTGTTTCCAAAGGCTAAGGGCATCCTTTCCCCCTGAAAGTCCTTAATCTGGACCCAGAGTTTTGTTTTGTTTTGTTTTTAATCTAACTCACTTTTCTGCCTGAAGCTAATAACATCATTCTTCTCTGCCAACAAAAGACACTAGCTTCTTAATGTTAATATATACCAGATTTGTCCAATCTAAATAACGTGTCTTTTTTTTTTTTTTAATTTTTATCTATTTGACAGACAGAAATCACAAGTAGGCAGAGAGGCAGGCAGGGTTGGTGGGGAACAGGCTCCCCGCTGAGCAGAGAGCCCGATGTGGGGGCTTGATCCCAGGACCCTGGGATCATGACCTGAGCAGAAGACAGAGGCCTTAACCCACTGAGCCACCCAAGCACCCCTAAATAACATGTCTTTAAAAACAGTACAATTAAAAAATTTAGAAAGCACACAATGGACTCTTATCCACATATACATATCCAGATATATAATACCTTAATAATTTTTACATTCCACTTTGAGCTTTTGGAAGAATTATATATAGGCCACAGAATAGAGTTAAGGATACTGTTAGCATGTATGGTTCCCAATGGTTCTCCCAGTCATGATCATCTGTATACCACTTATTTGAAAAGAATATGGAATTTTAATTTTTCTAACACTCTTACTCTAAGAGGTACCAAAAAACAGAAGGTCATATGGACTGTCCAGTTTCTGATTATTCCATTAGTTCCATTAAATACAATATAAATAAAAATATAACATATAAAATGTACTATGTATATAATTATTTTAAGGTATGTATGTATTAATGTATGTATATAGTGTATTTGGACACATACAATATATAGCTGAAACCTCAAAGGCTTAGGATCTATCCATACTCTTCATCTCAGGGCTGGTCTATAACCAGGAGCATGAAATAACCAGAAACTGGAGAGCCAATGCCATTGAATTTTTGACATCCCCCAGGAGTAAAAGTATTGGGAATATTAAAATAGAATATATTTTACTGTAACTGTGTATAAATAACACATATTTTATATGTATATATAAGATACATATTATATACACATACCATATATACACACACTCATTTTATGATATAGTTTATTTAAATTGCAAGCAGTGTCAAGTTTCCGTGACTTGGAAATAAATGTAAATAACTGTATTTGGCCTAATACAAATACACTGATACTTACAGCATACCTTAATGTTCTGTTAGTTCATTTTCAAGATATAAATTTAAAATATTGGGGGGGAGTAAATTAATATAAAGCTACAGTGCAACCAAATATCAAGAAGTCTTTTTTAAAAATCCGGTGTTACACTTATAAAACATTACCCCTCAAGTTTGAGTGGAAGAATTTTATATAGTTCTGTATTCTCAAAACACTTTCAAAGGGACCAACCAGCAAAAACTGCTAGACTGTTTCGGTTCTAACCTGTTTTAGGTGTAACTCCATATTCACATCCCATGTACATATTTCTAATATTAATTGGGATGTAATTCATAGTTGTCTTTTTCTTAGACAAGTGCAGGGACTTTAGAAAGTTATCATTACTCAACATTTTTATGCAACACCTTAATATTTGCATGAATAGTCCATACCTATATTCTCATTTTTATATTCTGCATTATTTTCACAAGTAAAGCTGCTATGATATAAAAAGTCATATTTATTTTTTAAATAAAACATACACCCCCCAAAAGCCTTCATTTATCAGTGGATTATTTTTCTTCATTCTTTTTCATTCTAAGCATCTCAGGAAATCCTCCGGGAATTATTTTGTCTCTACATTTTGTTATAACAATACATTAAAATTATTTTCTTTTTAGAATTTTATTAATTTGAGAGAGCACAAAAGAGGGAGGGGCGGAGGGAGAAGGAGAAGCAGGCCTCTCCCCCCATAGCTGAATCACACAGCGCGTAGCCTCTTCAGATTGGCTTCTGGCACTTAGTCATACGTATTTAAGTTTCCTCCATGTCTTTTCATGGCTTGAGAGCTCATTTCTTCTCAGCGCTGAATAAAATTCCATTGTCTGGATGGACCACAGTTTATTTCTCCATCGATTTCTCCATTCACCCACTGAAGGATATCCAAGTGCAAATTTTGTGTGTGCATAAATTCTCAACTCCTTTGGGTAAATACCAGAGAACATGCTTGCAGGATTGTGTGGGAAGAGCAGGTGTAGTTTTCTAAGAATTGGCCAAACTCCTTCGAAGGTGGAAGGCGTGTTTCCAGTCTGCATCCCCACCAGCAGGGAGCCACGGCTCATTTTGTTCCACGCCCTCGCCAGCATCTGGTGTTTCGAGCATTCCAGATTTTGACCTTTATAACTGGTGTCTCTTTGCCTTTTGATTTACATTCTTTATAGTCATGGCAGCCGCTCACGTGATTTGAGTGTTATGTATTCCCTTTGCGAGAAGTTTACTCTAGTTTTTCAAATAATTTTTTTTTTAAAAGCTTTGGAGGCGCCTGGGTGGCTCAGTTGGTTGGACAACTGCCTTTGGCCCAGGTCATGATCCCGGAGTCTCAGGATCGTAGTCCCGCATCGGGCTCCCAGCTCCACGGGGAGTCTGCTTCTCTCTCTGCCCTTCTCTTCACTCATGCTCTCTCTCACTGTCTCTCTCTCAAATAAATAAATAAAATCTTTAAAAAAAAATTAAAAAAAAAATAAAAAGCTTTGGAAAGTTTCATAGATTTTCCGTAAATCTGTTACTGTTTTGACTTTCTATCAGTTTCAAAGGCTTTAAACTTTACTTTCTTCTCTTTTAAATGCCTTTATACAAAATCCACTGTGCAGGGTAGGAAAAATTTCCTCGGCTTTTGGATTTAGCAGTAATCCTCCTAGCAACAGTGAGAGTTCAGAGAGAAGTTTGTGGAAATGTGTTTGGTAGACCAAGAAAGTTAAGCCACAGCACAGAGAGACCTCTTACAAACAAATCACAGACAAAATCCTAAACGCTGGAAGGAAACTTAAAGATCATCTTACTAAACCCTGCTCTTACTTACAATTGAGGAATTGGAAACTAGAGAGGTGGTGTTGCTTGAGCCCTGAATGCTGGTGCCTAGTTCGAAGAATTTGCCCATTCTGTTCCATCTCCCTTAGGACACAGCACACTAGGGGCGCCTGGGGGCTCAGTCGGTGAACCCTCTGCCTTTGGCTCAGGTCATGATCTCAGGGTCCTGGGATAGAGCCCCACATCCCACTCCCTGCTCAGTGGGGAGCCTGCTTCTCCCTCTCCCTCTGCCTGCTTGTGCTCTGTCTCTCACTCTGTCAATTAAATAAATAAAATGTTAAAAAGAAGAAAGAATATGGCACACGAGATCATGACACATGAATCAGACAGATGGTGTATAAAGCTCCTTCAGTGGTCCTGTGTTGGGATATATGTCCTTTAGGACAATGACTATGTTTTCTTTGCACGGCCTCTTTCCCCAAGGACACACTCAATGATAGCTGACCTCCTTCTTCCATCTTCACACCCTGTACCCCAAAGATACATTTATTTTCATTTTTTCCTTCTAGGCTGGTACTGCATCTCAGGAAAAAAGGACAGGAAAACAGCAAGTGAAAACCGAGGTTTGGAGGACAAGCAGGTGCGGTGGCCTTTCTTTCCCAGAGCATGTGTTCTCCTCTCGAACTGCTGCAGTTCCAGAAAGGGGAGTTTTGCAACATCGCTGACTGATTTTAGGGAGAGGGGACCAGTCCGTGTGTCAGGTGGGGCTGGAGACCAGGGGAGGGAGGCGGGAGGCGAGTGTGATGAGCTCACTGTCCCAAAGGCCTCCCCAGGAGGTGGCTGCGGGGAGTTCACTCCTTTGGGATTGCCAGGCCTCTGTGTCGTATTTGGAGGACAGTTGAGTTCTCATACGTTAAGGTCACGGTGGATCCCACAGCGTCACGGTGTCATGGTGGATCCCACAGAAGCGGACCCACCGCTTGTATTTCAGTGTCCTGCTGTGCTTTGCTGATCACTGGGCTCAAGCTGAACGTAAATCTCATGGCTGCTGCCCAAGGTCAAAGCCAGAGGACTTGTGTACCTGCAGACGGAGCTGGTCGGAGAGTTGCCACTGGGGAGGACTGCTGAGTGAGAGACACTTTGGCTTTCAAAGCTATCCGCCTCGTCTCCACATTAAGGTCCGCTGCTTGTTCACATGTCCCCAGATAAGCTGCTGAGCAGACAAGGAATTGGGACTGCTCCACGAGACACAGGGACCATTTGGCTTACCCAGGGTTGATGCCTCGAAACGGGCATTTCAGCATCGCAGACTATATCTGGGGACATTCCGGCATTTCTGGAAGCCTTACGGTGGCTCCCACTGTCGACGTTCCCATTCTGTAGCTTCTGCAATGAAAGTAACCAGTGTCTGTATCCTCACAGAACAATAGTGGCCCTTAGGGAGCATTCTAGAAACCAGGCAGACTGTTCTTAGGCTGTCCCAGGGCTTGGGGGAAGGTGCACCACTGACAGTTCGGAAAAAGACCAGGGATGTTAGATGTCCCCTGAAGAACTGAGTCAGGTTATGCATGACTTCCAACCATCCCATAGCAAATTGAAGGTGAAAAACCTGTTAATCAATCCTAGGACCTGACTCCTTTTACAAAGAAGCACGAGGTCTTTGCACGTGTGCATGTGTGTAGTTCAATAGGCACTGAAATTTCCAAGAATGCATCATTTTATAAATTAAATTGTATTTTGTCCTTTTCACATGTCCCCCAAGAATTACTATTTAAAAAAAAAAAAAAAGTCACATCACTGAGAGTGAGTCCCTTGGTATTTGATCATCTGTGTTGATCTACAAGGTCCTTGTTTCCTTCAGGATGATTCTACCCACAGGTTCTGTGATGCCTGGTTCTGTGTGTGTGTCAACTTGACCGGGCTGTGTGTTACCCAGATATTTGGTCAAACATCATTGTGGGTGTTTCTGTGAGGGGGATTTTCGGATGAGAGTAAAACGTGTAAATTGTTAGGCTTGATTTGTAAAGCAGATTATTCTCCCTAATGTGGGTGGGCCTCGTTCAATCAGTTGAAATCAGGAATGGAATGCAAAGGCTGTCCTTCCCCTGAGTAAGAATTCCTGGTGTCTGGCTGCTTTGGAACTGGGATACTGGCTTTTTCCTGCCTTTGGACTCAGACTGAGATGTGGGCCCTGCCTGGGTCTCAAAGCTGCTGGTGGCCTCGGGATTGGAACTTTGCCCTTGGCTCCCCTGCGTCCCCAGTGCGCCGACTCAGCCTGCGTATCTTGAGCCTTGTCGGCCTCCATAATCGCATGAACCAGTTCCTTATAAGAAATCTTTTCACACCTATATGCACATCCATCCTGTTGGTTTTATTTCTCAATAACACAAATACAAATACCCAGCTTCTAATTTATGTTTTTTGGTTTGGGGCCCACACATTTATATGTTGAAAGTATCTCCTTTATTGTTAAAACAACTGTCTCTTATTTTGTTTTTATGTAACGCTTATTGTGTTTCATGATTTTGGGAAATTATGCATGCATTTAGGTATTCTTACCAAAGAATTTAACGTCAGCCTAGGGAAGGGGCCGTTAAAAATATTAGATATAAGAGGGGAGCCTTGGGGATGACAGCTATGGGAACTACTGCTTTTCATAAACGAACCCCAGGAATGTAACCTGTTTATTTAGCTGCACAAGCACAGACATCACAGCGATGTCCAGAAACACAGTCACGAACCCCTCTGCCACTCTCACCAGTGGCAGCAGGCCCTGTGCCTGCTGTTTTCCCCAAATTAACATCCTTGAGATTCCAGTGTTCTCTTATAGCTTTTCATAATTTCTCCATCAAAAAGACTTGCTTATTTTTTATGTAAATGCAGACCTTTGGCTGAGGGACTGATTTTATTCTTCCTTCTATCAGTGGGAACTCTAGAGCACCTACAGGGGGCGGGGTCTTTGTCCTTCTAGTCTCACTGACCCCAGCAATACTTACAAGTGTGTTCAACTCTGTAGGAGTTGAAAGAAACTTTTTATCCTCATTCAAGTCTGGATAAAAATGTCCTTGTACGTTTTGTGAATTGGTTTTGTTTTTTAATACCACACATCTGCTTTACTCTTGAAACCTCCCAAGAGGCTGATGTAGTGACAACACCAGAAAAGGCAAGCCTCTGAAATCAAAGTTGAAAGGTATCAGAAAATGGATAAACTAGTCATCTGCAGAAAAAATACACATTTGAGATTGTTTGGACAGTTATGATAACGAGATGCAGGTGTCTCCCACATCTAGGAACCTAAAATGTAATAAAGTAAGTTGTGGTCAAATGAACTTAATGTGCCCGATACAATGTCCTAACTAAAGGATGACAAACTTCACAGAATCTAGAAAGGAGTGGAAAAAGAGTTAAGCTTTGTCAGTACATTTTGTCCAGCCTCTGTGGAAGGGAGTTTTCAATGAAGAAAACATGAATTTCTCTAAGCTGGACAAAGGCGAGTTTCAGGTCACATAACTTGGGGCAAAAAAAATCTCTCCTTTTGGATAGGACTCTCGCATCTATTTTAATGTTCCATCTGTTCTTTTGTGTTCTAAGAATTGTTCTTTAGGGGAAAAAATGACAAAGAATATTATCAGGGGCAAATCATGTGAATTATCAAAGCCAGCAGCTGTTCCAGTATAAAGTAGTAAAGTGACATCCAGGTCCGGCTGAGCTCAAGTCCATTTCCCAAGATGTATCAGCAATGACACAAATTAATCAAGATACCTTGAACAACAGAGGGTTAGATGCCTGGATCACCAAGGCAGAAATAACCCATACAATCTAGCTCTGAGTTCTTTTTTTATTTTTCTCTCCTTTTAGGAAATTTAGGTTTCTAAATACTGGACTGTAATGGACCTGCTATGTGAACCTTTCACAGAAGGGCCACAAATTCCCTCTGCTTCCTCCTGTCCATTCTGCAGGGTTCAGCCTCCCCCTCCCTGTAGTCTTCTAGATATCATTCCCGCTGACAACTGCAAGTCATTCAAAGCACACCTGTCTATACCTATACCTCTATCTGTATGTGTATCTGTAATGTCCACTAATGGATTAATGGACAGGATCAAAGGCTTCTATGCTCTGAAAAGTAGTGATTAAAAGTACCCAATATATTGTGAATTTACCATCATCAACTACCTTGATGAGATGATGGAAGGAGAGAAGATACATTAATTTAAAAAAGTGTAATTTCTTTTCTAACAGAATTGAGGGATATACGCACATACACTTACATGAATACACGAAACACATAAGAAATACACACACGCACACGTATACCTCCTTATGCACAGTACAGTCAGAAAGCTGCCACAAAGATTTTGAAAACCTAAGTAGACAAAGTTTACAAGAGCTGGAGGAACTGGGTTAATTGTAACCCAAATCTTGAATTTTCTAAATTCATGGGCCTTTTTAATGACCTGTCAGCCTTCCTTTTCTCCCATTCTCTAAAAGAAAGTAATTCTATCTGCAGAAACACCATAAGGTTTGGAATTCTCCTTTATAGAATTTCCTTTATGACAAAGCAGATGATGCTTGGAACTCGTTTTTATGCAAGGATACTTTGCCTAGGATAGTTTTCAGTACCGCACTCAACACGTAAAGGGAACATATGTAACATACATCTTACCTATAAAACAAATTATACCAAACACTCACGATGGCATGTCTAGCACTAAATCTAGAAAGTTGGCCACAATTTGTGTTTACCTCTGTTCTTGTCTACATCCTCTTGCTGCGACTGTCATTGCCATGTTCACTTCCTGATTTTAAAAACTCATTCATGAAGCTCTTAAAAAGATTTTTGAATCATACACTTGCATGTGCTTCTCTATATGCTTAAATAATAATTTATTTTTGAGCTTTTTAAAGTGGTATCATACATGAACCTTCTGAGATTTGGGTTTCTGAAATTCAACCAAGTATTACTGTGTATTTACTCATTTCCCGCCCTCACTATATGGACTCCTATTGGGTGACTGTATCTCACTAAATTTGTTGATTCTTTTGGCGTGAATATGCGGTTGCTTCTCCTATTTTGCTATTAAGAATAGAACTGTTCCATTCTCCTGTGTCTCCTGTTCTAAGCGATCGGAATAGTCTCCTGCTAACACCTGGGCTCCGTTATTGGATAAAGGATATTATCAAAAAACTTCAGCAAATACAATTCAGTGTAGAAGTGTTCCCACCCCCCCCACCCCCCATTCCTAGCAAAGACCAAAGTATATTTAAAAGTGCCATTCCCCAGGGCTTACACTGGAGGGAGGGATTTTGACCTCCGGAATCGGGGACAAAGGCACAGGGCTTCCGCGGCCCTTCTAGGTTTCTTTTTAAACCTCTTCCAACAGCCACAGGGAATGCAAGTGACACAGAACGAAGATACGGAGTGGATTCTGACCCGGAAGGTAGGAATCGGAGCCCAGTCCTTCCCAGGAGAGGAATTTCACTCAGAGAAACGAGGGAGTAGAGTGGCCGGGCTGCGTGCAAGGACCCGGTCAGGACAGACGGGCAGTGCGGGGGGAGGGGGGCGACTTCAAACTGCCCGCGCGGGGTCTGCATTGGCTCTCACACCAACGAGCCGTGGGATTGCTCAATCGGGATCTTGCTTGCATTATTTTCTGTTGCTTTTCTCAGTGTGTGTCAAATACACGCTCCAGGGAGCAGAGCCAGCAGCACCCCCAAAATAACATAAGTGAATAAAAACAATTTGTGCGTCTTTTAGCGAGTGCCCGTTGCTCCCTCAGCAAGGTACACCTGAGAATTAAGGACAGAGCGCTCGAGGCCTTAATAATAAAACCTTTTGCCAGGTGGAGATTTTCAAAGGTGACCAGGTGTTGCTTTGGAGACCAAGAATATATTTTGCCCGAATTGTCTGATAATGACCGTATCCTTCCTGATCGAAATCCATTTAAATAGGTCTCCGGTTCTACTTCAGTTTCCCATACATCCTACTAATTTATCAAGAGGTGAAAACATGGAATTCAGACAGTTTCTTTGCAGCAAATAAACAACCCAGGATGAATGAGTGCCAGGTCCCTTTAGAACACTGAGTGGCTCTGAAAAGAGCCTTTGGGGTGTGTGCCGAGCCTTACCGATTGCTCTTGCAGCCGGCGGGCTCACTTGGCGCTGGTGTACTTGGTGACGGCCTTGGTGCCCTCGGACACGGCGTGCTTGGCCAGCTCCCCGGGCAGCAGCAGGCGCACGGCCGTCTGGATCTCCCTGGACGTGATGGTCGAGCGCTTGTTGTAGTGCGCCAGGCGGGACGCCTCGCCCGCGATGCGCTCGAAGATGTCGTTGACGAACGAGTTCATGATGCCCATGGCCTTGGACGAGATGCCGGTGTCGGGGTGCACCTGCTTCAGCACCTTGTACACGTACACCGAGTAGCTCTCCTTGCGGCTGCGTTTGCGCTTCTTGCCGTCCTTCTTCTGAGCCTTGGTCACCGCCTTCTTGGAGCCCTTCTTCGGGGCCGGAGCCGACTTGGCGGGCTCGGGCATGGCCGAAAGTAACTGTTCAAGGACCAGAAAATAACAGGAAGAATGAGTATGAGGCTGTGCGTGTCCTCTTTATCCACGGCTTCTTAAACAAAGGAGGCAGTGAGTCAAATCCTGTATCTAATTGGCGAATTCGGCAAACGTCACGAAATGATTTTGTTCAATCAAAAGAGGTGTATTTGAAAACCAGGATTCCATTGGTTTAAGTGAAACTGTAATTTCAGCCAATGGCACAGCTTTATTTTTGTGCCCAATAGAGACTATAAGTAGGGTAGCTCTGGCTAACTCAACTCTGACCCTGCTCAGGTTTGTGCTTTTTATCTTCATTATGTCTGGACGCGGGAAGCAGGGCGGCAAGGCGCGCGCCAAGGCCAAGACGCGCTCGTCGCGGGCGGGCCTGCAGTTCCCGGTGGGCCGCGTGCACCGCCTGCTCCGCAAGGGCAACTACTCGGAGCGGGTCGGGGCCGGCGCGCCGGTGTACCTGGCGGCCGTGCTCGAGTACCTGACGGCCGAGATCCTGGAGCTGGCGGGCAACGCGGCGCGCGACAACAAGAAGACGCGCATCATCCCGCGCCACCTGCAGCTGGCCATCCGCAACGACGAGGAGCTCAACAAGCTGCTGGGCCGCGTCACCATCGCGCAGGGCGGCGTGCTGCCCAACATCCAGGCCGTGCTGCTGCCCAAGAAGACCGAGAGCCACCACAAGGCCAAGGGCAAGTAGAAGACTGGCCGAGTGTGCAGCTCAAATCTCCCGTCCAAACCAAAAGGCTCTTTTCAGAGCCACTCTCTTAATCAACAAAAAGAGCTGTGCCTTTAAGTCACATTGTTGGCATAGCAAAGTATTATACTGACAAATCCTGTAAAGCAAAGAAAAGCTTGTCTAAGGTATTTATAAATCTGTCATTTGGCCCAAGAGACAACCTTGCTGTAATGAACCCATGTGAGCAAAACTGGGGTATCCCGATTCCTCTGCAGGATCAAATGTCCATCTGGAGCACAAATTTGTTGTCCTGTTATGGCAGGGACAGTCAGGGATCTAGTAGGACCTGAGGCCACACACAGGGTAAGATCCCTATCTGCTTGGCCTCCCTGGGATACCATGGTTGAAAAAAACCCCAGGGGACTGGGCCCGGAATACCAGAGGAAAAACAACCCAAGGGGGCTGGGCTGGGGAGCATAGTCTTGCTGGAAGTTTGCCCCGGGCCAATCAGACAAAGATCTGATAAAATCCTGAACAGCCCTGGCTAAAACTGCGTAAAAGTAAATCTCGTTGCTGGGGGTGGAAAGGGGACATTCTTGGATCCCCCCTCTCCCTGGGAAGAGCTGATTCTCTCCTCTTAACGCTTTGTCTGCTGCCCCTCACTCTGTGTCTGGTCTCCCTCTTTATTCCTCCAAGCGGCAGGACCAATGACCTTGGGCACCAGAAAGCTGAGATAAGAAAAAATCCTGAAACATTTTCTTGGGGACTCCAGGATCTCTGGTCGTCATCGAGGCGTCTAACCGTGAGTAGTGGACAGCCAGTGTCTCTGTTATAGTCAACAAGATAGGCCTCATCATCTCAGAGTGAATGGCAAGGCTGCGGCCCTCAAGTCTCGGGTGATAGGTTCCCACTGATCCCTCCTCTAAGGGAAGGAATGCAAAAACCCCGGGAGGGTCCCCCCAGACATCCCCTTGCCAGCGGCCCCCAAGGGATCGCACCCACAGTTGCAGTCACCTGCTGCGGGGAGGAACAGCCTCTGCCTCCGCCCTCCCGGCCGCGGTCCTGCTCCTTCACCCGTTGCCGGGTCAAGTGGACAGAGCACTTAGGCATGTGGCGTCCTCTGGGATCTGGCCCAGAACTTGTTAGGAATAGCCCCTCAGCTCCCCTCATCTTAAACCCCTTACTGGGGTTCCGCCCGCAGTGTTCTACCTGTGACCCTCCAGCCACAGAGCATGTTTCTCGTTTTTGTGTGACGGTCACTATACCCCACACCTTGTGGATCGGGCTTGCCTGACGGGGTGAGGGACAGCCTCCAGGACCCACCTGTGCCATTTGGTTCCACTTGGTGAGGTGCCCACCCCTCTGCTCAGCTGTGACCGTCCTAGGATAGACCCCCGTCCGGCTAGAACACACGTGTGTAGGTAGTGTCGAGAAGGACAAAGGAACGGACTTCTACCTCGGCCATGTCCCCTGTCCCCGCGGCCCATCCTATGCCTCCAAAAATTGGCCTTTGTTAGCCTCTTACAACAGGTCTGTCAAACAGAGCGATTTTATTCTGCCCATCATGCTGACGTCCACTGGGCCCAGAACAGTCTGGCACATCCATCCGCCACTAAAGGGGCCTTACTGGGTCACGGCCCATCCCCTGGCTGGGAAATGCAGAGACAGTAAAAGTCAGGACAAGCGGGGTGGCTCCCTGGAGGTAGGATCCAGCCCGGTTAGAGTGACTAACTAGCACCTCGCAGAAGGGACAAGTCCTGGCTCCCAGTCGCAAAGACACCCAGGACACTGGGTCAGGATGAAGGCCTCCTGGTCAACTATGAGGAATGAGGTTGGGGGAGCCGTTGCCCCCTTCCCGTGGACGGGGATCACAGTCCCCTGACCGGAGCCGGTGTTCCTCGGGGGCGGTTCCTGAGTAACTGGAACGGTTTGACCCGCAAACCCCTAAAGAAAAGGCAAATTCTTTTCTTTGGTTCCAAGGCATGGCCACAACACAGACTGGAGGAGGAGACACGGCGGCCTGAGGGACACGTCAATTATAAGACCCTGTTGCGACGGGACTGGTTTTGCAAACGTGAGGGAAATGGGGAGAAGTACCCAATGTGCTGGGTTTCTGTGCCTTAAGGGAAAATTAAGGGCCTGTGCCGGCCTCCTGCCTGCTCTCTCTCAGGGCTGGACACGGAGGGCAGGTGGGGGGTTGTGGTTAGGGGGTTAGGGAGCAGGGGGGGAGGGGGTGGTGAGGAACACAGGGACCCCACACCCACGCCAAAGGCAGACAGGCAAATGGGGTCCACAGAGGATTTCCAGCCCCAGCCCCATCTTCTCTGGGGTCTCTGTCCCTTTCCTGTTCAGCTGTCCCGGACCCCCTGCTGCGCTCAGGGCTCTATGTCTTCCAACAATATACAGGACCCAGAGGAGGACCAAGGGCAGCTGCCGCTATGGCTGGGGTACAGGTCTCCTTGTCACTGCAAGACCAGAGACGAAGGGGTCCTTGGGGAGCTTTCCAAAAACCCATATACCTATACAGAAGGTTACCAAAATCTTACTTGTGATTGAATTAACCGGGAAGGAGGAAATGTTCCTGTTAAATCAATCCCTCTCTGAGGCGGACAAATGCGGAGTCCTGGGCACCGTGGAGAGAATGGGGACGAACAGCTGAGTAATTCCCAAGCACCGCTGGGCCCATGGGGGACTTCCAGTTCTCAACTGGGGCCCAAGATCCCAACTGGGACCCTAACGATCCCCTCAGAAACTGGTACCTCCGTCACTTCCAGGCCTACGTCCTGGAGGGATTAAAAAGTTTCAAGTGCTGAATCTCGCCAGGCTACGTACCCTGACCCAGGCTCCGGAGAAAAACACGACAGCCTCCTAGAGAGGAGGGAGGCTCTCATGAAACATATAGCTGTCTCTCCTGATTCTCCCGAGGCCAAGATAGGGCCCAAGACAAAACTGTGATCCGGTCAGCCCCAGATATTTGGGAAAACCTGCAAAAGTTGACCACCGGCCCTGAGGGGGCCCTAAAAGAGCTCTTTGGAGCTGCTAACTGGGTCTTTTACAACTGGGACCAAGAGGAGAGTGAGGAACAAGAGAAGAGGCTGAGAAGGAATTTCTAGGGTCTACTTGTGGCCTTATAAGCCGTTACCCATCAGCCCCCACCCCCACCCCAAGGCTCTAGTACTAGATGCCTCATCTGTGGCCGCCCAGAGCACTGGCAGCCAGGATGCCCTCAAAGGGGACAGCAAAATGAAAGCCCCCAAGCCCTGTCCTGTTTGTGGAGGACCCTGGAAATCTGAATGCCCTCGAGGACCTCCATCTTCGAGGGCTCAGCACCCGCAACAGGGTCGCGGAGCTCTTCACGGGGCCTTCCCTGGGCAGCTTGCCCTTGGGAACCCAGAGCCACGGGCAACTCATGAGACAGGGAAAGCCAGTCCGTTTCCTTCCACCTTCCCTGTTCTCCTCCCCACCCCGGTGCCCACTGCCCAGCCTCCACGCCGCTGGTCAGGGCATTGCTAGACAGCCCAGAACCAGTTTTTTTTCTCTCCCTCTGGGATACATCTGGGGTGATCTAATTTTCTCTCACTCCTTGTTAATGCCTGAGAGCCCCACACCTCCCTTAGGTAGAGATATTATGGGCCAATCTGGGAACTCTCATGTTGATGGCCCCTGGACAGACGGGCAGTCACCTCCTCTTATTAGAGGCTCATACTAATCCCCAGGTCTGGGCAACTCAGCAGTGGGTTGGGCCTTACCTGCAGTGCCCATTCACAAACACTTTAAAGATCCCACAACTTGCCCCTGTCGGAACAAATACCCTCTAAAACCAGAAGCAAAGAAGGGCCTAAAAAAAACCATAAATAATCTAAAGAAGCGGGGGTGGGGGGTCTTAAAAGGATGCAACAGCCCATGAAACACCCAGTTTTGGGGATACAAAAACCTAACAGGGAGTGGAGATTGGTACAAGATCTCGAATTATTAATGAGGCTGTGGTCCCAAGTCATCCCGTCGTCCCCAACCCTTGCACACTGCTGCCTCCGATCCCCCCTGACACAAGCTCCTTTACAGTCCCAGGCTTACAAGAGGCCTTCTTTCACAAGCCACTCCATCCAGATTCTGTTTCTGTTTGCAGTCGAGGAGCCCACGAATCCGACCGCCCAGTTCACATGGACAGTTCTACCTCAAGGGTTCTGAGATAGTCCCCACTTATTTGGACAGGCCCTGTCCTGAAATCATGCAGAATTTTCAGCTGAGGACTGGGTCCTCCTACAGTGTGTGGACCGTCTCCTGCTATAAGCCCCCTCTGAGCCGAGTATACAAACTGGCACCCAAAAGCTTCTACATTTTCAGAGTATGGGGGGAATAGAAGGTC